GTAAGTATTATATTATAATTTAACTTTTACAACACAAAATAAACATCATCTAATTAAATAATTTGTTTTTTTATTTCCTTATAATAACCAGGGAGTAAGTATTATATTATAATTTAACTTTTACAACACAAAATAACACAAAATAAACATCATCTAATTAAATAATTTGTTTTTTTTTATTTCATAGAGAGTAAATATTATATTATAATTTAATTTTACAATACAAAGTAAACATCATCTAATTAAATAATTGTTTTTTTTATTTCTTTATAATAACCAGGGTGTAAGTATTATATTATAATTTAACTTTTACAACACAAAATAAACATCATCTAATAAATAAATTTATTTTTTATTTCTTTATAACCAGATTGTAAGTATTATATTATAAATTAATTTTTATAACAACTAAATAAAATTAATTTTTATTTCTTTATAATAACCAGCTGGTAGGTATTATAATGTATTATAAATCAATTTTTATATCTAACTAATAAGTTTATTTTTATTTATTCATAATAACCAGCTGGTAAGTAGTATATTATAAATTAACACAAAAATAAATTTTATTAAAACATTATCTAATAAATCTTTTTTATAATAACCAAGGAGTAAGTATCATATTATAAAACTAACTTTTACAACACAATAATTTTTATTAAAATATCAATTAATAAATTTATTTTTCTTTATAATAACATAATAACCAGCATGTAAGTAATTTTTACAACACAAAATAAATTTTTATAACATCATCTAATTAAATATTCTTTATTTCTTCATAATAACCAGCTGGTAAATATTATATTATATTATAAAATAACTTTTACAACACATTGTCTAATTAAATAAATTTATTTTTTGCATTTATAATAACAATTGAAGGTAAAATAATTTATAAATTTATCTTTTTTATAACTTTTAAATGAATGTCTATTTTTATTATATTGAAAAATAATTCTATTCTATTTTTATTTTTTTATAATGAATAATAAGATAACATTAAGGGGTTTAAAGAAAGAAAAGAAGAATATGGAACCTGTTCTGTTTGTGCAAGATATAATACTAATTACCAGTGGT